TTGTTTTTATTCTCTCCATTCCCCTATCTAAATTTAACCTACAATATTATTAACAGACTTTCTCATTTGGAAGAATAACATTTTTGTAAAATGGGATTCTCCCTGCCATTTCTCTTACTTTTCCTCCCACCAAAAAACAAAAACTGATTTATCCAATACTGTCCTTAAATGTCTCATGGACTTCATCCCAGTCTTGCAATCAATGGCTGGAAGTGGGGGTAGATGAGAGAAGAGGGTGCTGTGCAAACCAAGCCTACATTTAATACCCATGAACACAAAATAGATTACTCTAAACTCACTGAATATTTCATAAGGATCAGTCTGGTTAAATATATTTTTACACATTGAGTGTATATAATCTCCAATTAAATTATTTTTGAGAAAATTTGTAATGCCACTTCTTCCCCAATCTCCCTCATTAGAAATCAAATTCTGTTCTTAGTTTATAGCAAGTCCAGATTCAAAACTACGTAGATTAAAAACTATTATCTCTCCATCCAGTGCAGAGGCAAATACACTTGGAGAGCAGACATTTGGTGTACAGATTTCTAAAAATGGAGCTAGATGTCAGAGCTTATGAAATACTTTATTTTTTGGTAACACGTAGCTGCCACATGAAGCACATGTGACAAAAATGCCACGTGAGCTTACTTTAATTGTCATGTAAGTTAGTTATTACTCCCTCTCTCCAGATGAGTCATATGTATATATATATATATGCATATATGCATATACACATACATATAAATATATATGCAAAATAGTTGCCATGCTCAAAACTATCAGTCCTATGCAAGAATGGACAATCAGTACAGCACCTCACAACCAGGTCAAAATAGAGTCACCACCTATTCTCCACACACCAGATGAAGAGAATATGGCACTGCATTTTTCAACGTGGTCAACTTCTACATTAAAATACCCCTGCTCACTATGAAGCAGAATCTCTCAGAGACCACTATAATTTAATGCGTAAGCATAAATTGAAAAAGAGTAGATCATGGTCATCAATGCATGTTTCTAGAATGGCCTGGGCTCTCTTCTCTCTCTCTAAACTATTTCACTTGGTGATCCTATATGCTCCCATAGTTTTAATTATCATCTCTATGCTGATCATTCTCAAATCTATTTATCCTGCCCTAACCTCTGTTGACCTCCAGTCTCACATCTCCAACTGCCTACTGGATATCTTAAACTAGATGTCTCACACAAATCTTAAACTCAACGTCAAAAAAAAAAAAAAATGAACTTACTCTCTTCACACCTCAAATACTCCTCTTGTCAAAATTTCCTTATTACTATCCAGGAAACAACCATTCTCCCACTCACCCAAGCTCAAAACCTACTATCATCCTCAACTTCTCACCCTCTCTCTCACCTCCCATATTTAATCTGTTGCCAAGGCCTGTTGATTTTATCTGTTACCTTGTAACATGTCTCAAATACACATCCTTCTCTCCTCTCCTCTGACACTGCTACCACTGTGCTGCAGGTCCTCATCACCTCACACCTGGACTATAGCAATACCCTGCTGGTCAGTCTCCCTGTCTCAAGTCTCTCTCCATCCATTCAGTCCATTTTTCACTTGGATGTTAAAGTGATTTTCCTAGGTTCTGACTATGTCACTTCCCTACTGGAGTGACTTTCTATCACCTCGAAGATGAAATATCAACTCTGTTTGAGTTCAAGGCCCTTCATAACCTAGCCCCCTCCTACCTTTCCAATGTTCTTACATCTTACTGCCCCACCATGTATTCCTCAACACAGGGACACTGGCCTCCTTACTATTCCTAAAACAAGAAACTCTATCTTGTGACTCTGGTGATTTTCAATGGCTGTCCCTCATGCCTGGAATACTCTCTCTTCTCATCTCTGTCTCCTGGCTTCCTTCAAACACCAGCTAAAACCCCAGCTTCTTCACAGGGTCTTTCACGGTCTCCCCCACTGCTAGTGTCCATACTCTGGAACCACCTTTCATTTACATTGTACATTATCTTGTATGTGCATAAAAATTTGCATGCTGATTCCCCCATTAAACTGTAAGTTCTTTGAAAAGTCTTTTACCTTAGTTTTGTATCCCTACCACTTAGCACAGTGCCTGAAACCTAGTAGATTTATAAATGCTTACTGAGTGTAAAATGTTACATATGTTGTTTTTAAACACAATCTCATTGCTTACTCGTCTCGTGTACCATAAATTGTGACATCACAATGAGTAAACAATTTTTAAAATATCCTTTTTTAGAATGAAAAATCATCATTAAACATCTCCCTTACCTCTTCACCCCTATCCATCCCCCCAACTGTAATTTAGAATTGTGGGTTCTGAAATCCTGTATTCATTTAAACACAGAAAATTAGATCCATGGTCAAAGAAAATTAATCAGATTAATAGTTAATTTCTTGAACCATTCAAAAAAATTACTAACATGCATCAATCCCCTTCCTTAGGCAGAGTCATTTATCAGTAGCTTTCAAACTTTGTTCCAAAGAACATTTCAAGCATTTCAAGAGGCAGATCTAGGAATTCATGGAAAGAAGTTATTTAATATTGTCAGTTCCAGGTCTCATTCTATCACCACACCTAAGTTTAGGATTCTGAGGTCTGGGGGATAAATTAAGATAGGGTCCACGCTAGAAAAAAGTGTGAAAACTACCGATTTCAAATAATGGTTCTTCACTTTGGTTAATTTTCTACTTTCAAAACTCTTTCTCATTAGGATACTCAACCAGAAACAAATCAAATATTTAGAAAAACAAATTAGAAATTAGCACAAAGAAGGATACATAGATGTCACTCCAAAATTTATTAATTTTTATTAGCATATCAGTATACCAGAAACACTCTAGAAAATTTTTTCTTTGCCAACAGAGGCTACTGCTCTCACCTTATTTCATTTTCATACTGTGGGGACAGTCTACCTGAACTCTGGTAAAAGCTTTTCAGGAAAGAGGGGGCAGAGAAGGAAGGGGCAGAGATGGAAGTATGAAGACTTGGAAGACTGGAAGAAGAAGATTTACTCTCCTTGTGAATGCGTTGACCTGATGGAAGAACGCTAAGCACAGAAAATACAGCAAATTTGTTTTAATTTATGGTACAACAGTTAAGATTTTTATTCACTAAGAAAAAAAAATCTTTTAAATAGACTCTTGATATCAATTAATTATGTAAGAAAAAAAATGAAAGTGTGGAACTAGACCTGAGAAAGCTAACACATCACTCTCTGTGCTCAATACCTTTCTTTCACAATCCAATGTTTTGCTTTCTAATTTATGCAGTATCCCTTACATCATGCATTTGTCTTTAAAGTATTATAACAGTTTTAGGACAGAATGTTGTTTGTTTTCACATGTAAGAGAAACTTCATAGGAAATAACCACAGGAAACAAATTCCACAAAAAAATAAAAACAGGTTATCAGGACTTCAAAGGCCTGATTATTTTAAATAAAATAGTAAGCTTTTCTAAAAATAAAGGAACAATATGTTTTGCTTTTGGAAATCAGTATCTAAATTTCAGTTTAATATAACACCAGTTTTCACTGATTTTTGCTTTATTCATCCAAGGTCTTTATACATATAGTCCACAGAGCATTTGAAAAAAATAAATCTGTTAGCCTGTACTGCATTACCACAAACAGCATCTTCTTGCACTAGCTTAACCTCAAAGTGATCCCTCCTTTTCTTAGTTTTAAAAAGATAGGTTGATAATTATTTTAATTGACACATTCTGAAGGGTATTTTGTTTGCTTGTTGGGGACTGAAAAAAAAAACACTCAGTAGGAGTGTTCATTTTAAACTCATGAACTGGGCTTAACAGACTTCATCCCGGGAAAGAAAAGATTGACTGTCTTAGGTAAATATAAATGCAATTTTTGTTTTACTTTTCTTCATAATATCTTTTATATTAATATTAAAATAATTTATTTCATTTTTATGAAGATAGTACAAAATATGAGGCAAAGAGATATCTTTACCTGGGAAGAAAAGAAAGAGGATTTTCCTCAATTTATTTACTTTCCTATAATATTCCTTTAAAACATTTTTTGCCATCTTTAGTCCTAATAATTTCTAGAAATTTTTAACACTAGTAAAGTTGACAATAATCAACATCAGATTTAACATCATTCTCTCTATGGTGCCTACCATATATTTTCTAATTAACTTCTGATATATTATGAAGAGAAAGAATCTGAGTTCTGGGAAACCAATTTTTATTTCAGTTACATAGTGAGAAGAGAAGAAAATATTTAAGCATGCACATTATTCTACAGTCCCAGAACATAATTTTAACACTTACCATATCAAGACAAAGATGACATAATAAAATTAATTCTGAAATACCATGTTACATAAATTCTTGAGACTGTTTTTTTCAGGTTGCTATACTTCTATGTCAACTATGGTATGCATTGTCTTCATTATTAAGGCTACTTATTTCATTCTAGAGGCAAACTCAAAAGAATAATCTCTTACATGTTACTTTACATTTAACACAATTATTATCCCAAGTTTAAAATTAATTTAGTATATGCCTTATTTAGTCATTTGATTTTGTGTGAACAGGAAGTTCTAGTGATTAGTTATTTTAAAACTTGCTGACTTCATTTCTTTGTAGCCATCATCTAGAAGCCACTGACTAACTGGTGTAGTCAGCAAATTTCAGTCACAATAACTTCATGACAATCCCCTTCAACCCTTTCCCTTTATTGAACATAAATAGGTTGCTGATGTATCTTAAACCTCTGCTTGCAGGTTTTCTGTCAGCTGGGGTTTCGTGGTTTCTTCCAAGCAATATGCATAATGCACAACTTGGACTAACCAACATTGTAATACTATTTTTCAGCACACTGATAAATCTATAGAGCTCCTTTCTCCTCCCTCTACAGAAGACAGGGTCTAACATTGTATGCTTTTGTGTGTAATGGTATTTTCCTCCCAGCAAAACTCTCATCAAAACCAGCACTGCCAAGTCCAAGAGGAAGGAAAGTTCAGACTCACCTGCACTGCTCAATGGAATTCTGTCTCAGGAGAGGAGACCGAACGCCATGAGATCGCCCATCCTGTAAGGCGATCTTTCTCTTTGTACTTGAGGGGGGATGGCTGAATGTGTGTGCCCGCCTTCGAAACTGAGGGGAGTCTGAGTCCTCTTCAGGGAACGTCTGCCAGGTTGAGTACAGTGGGGAGGCTGGCGGGGTGCCTGGTGGAGAGTCACCCGGTGAACAGTCCTGAGAAGAAATCAAAGGGCAGTGAGGCCTTGCTTTCTCACGGAAAGCATGGCAGGCCTGACCAGATAGAGCTCAAAAGGGGCAGGATGGCTCTTCTTCCTCCTGGGCCATGAGCAAATCGCCTTTTTTACTTAAGCCATGCTGCCTGCTAATCAGTAGGAGCATGACCAACTTCTTTTGATAAGCTTGCTCTGGGACAAAAGCATCCATAAATACAGACCAAAGTGAGAAAGTGGTGATAAGACAAGGTATTCTTTCCGCTGACACTTTGTGGCAATAAAATGCTGTAGCTACTGTACTTCTGACTGTCGGCAGAAAGATGAAAAGAGATCAGGACCAAAAGCGGGTGGGGTTTGTGTATATGTGTCTGCTAATTTCCTTGACATATCAGTTGCATACTTCCTGTACTGTCAAAACAATATAACACAGTCTGATTGTCCAGCTTTAGCAGCAGCAGCATCAGGAAAATAAAATAATAAAATCTGTTATGCATCCTTGTCCCCTGGGTAAGCTATTGTCCAACTACGTGTTGCCTGAGGTAAACTGAAAAACATGAAAAACAGGAAATGAATGAAAAGTGAGCTATGCCGGTATGTCTCTCATATTGCATGGACAAGTCTAATAAATCTTCCAATTCAGACAGGTACATTGTTTATATGTTACAGAACAGTCACTATATAAGTCATGTTTTTTAGTCTGCTAAGACCAATAAAGTTTGGAATAAATTCTTGGTTAGGGAAACTCCACAAACAAAAAGTTTAATAAAACTACTTTTTATAGCTTTAAAAAGAAATTAGTTTGAATAGACTTCAAATTGTGATGTATATTTTAAAAGAAATTAACATGAGTATGCTTTTAATTTTCAGGATTATCAAAAGCCAGGAGAAAAAACAAGAAGGATATTTTCTAAAAGAAAAATGTGAGTATGAAGTTGCAATTAAGAGAAAAAAAGTGAGAGCAAAGAGAACAAAAACGAAATTACTTCCCAAGTACAACAAAACCGTACTGTAACAACAGCTCATTATTTTATGAATTTGTATGTATTGAGGATCAAACTGCATCACCAAGAAAAAAAACTCCACATGGCAAAAAACTTGTTGTAACACAGCTAGCCTATAAAAAGGGGAGATATTTATTGTCCCCAAGCACCAATGCAGTCCAACTGAACTCTTCAAGACAAGGAGTATATAAACATATTACCACCAGTCAACTTTAACAATGTTCAATAAATATCAGAAATATAAAATACATACTAAAAATTCAAACAGTAGTATGTATCTTGTGTGTAAGTGGATAATGCCAAGCAAGTCGCAGTGTATTAATTTATATGTCCCTGAAACCTGCAACAAACTATTAAGTCCTAAGACAGTAGCATTTTTTCAGCCTTCATTTGGTACCTTCTCTGAAGCAACACTGTTGGACCTTTCAAAGCTGTCCATGCTTCCTAGACGGCCTCTCATTCTGTTAGCTCCCTGTGGGAAGACAAGAATTAAATATTTTACTTGGTTCTGTATCTCCTGAATCCCAAAAGCTAGTTTGGGAATGTTATCCTATGCTGCTGCTGAACTGATAGCCTCATATCCAAACATCGTAACAACACATTTTGTAGTAGCAAACAATTAGAAATAAAATAGGTATTCATCAATTGAGAAACAGATAAACAAAATGTGTTGGTAAATAAATATAATAAAATATTATTGAGTGAATAAGAAACCATGAATATGAAGAATTGAGAAGATCACAGGAAGACTTATATGAACTGATACCAAGAGAAATAAGCAAAACAAAGAAAGTAATATATACAATGACTACAACAACGTATATGGAAAGACCTATAAAACATAATAAGATACTATGTCATTATAATGACCAAGCATGGACCCAAAGGTAGGGAGCTACTGATGTGGAATAATGTGGGTATCACCAGAAAGGTTTTATGTACTGACTGGTTTTGCTAAGCTACTTTTTGTTCTTTCATTTATCTTGAGATTTGTTTAAAGAGATGGCTCAGTCTGTAAGGGAATGAGAAGGATCATATCAATAAATGAATGTGATTTAATAGGAAAAAACATCTATGATAATAACTTCTCATCACTGAAACTGGCACAGTGGATAGAATGCTGGGCCTGGAGTCAGGAAGTCCTGAGTTCAAAGTTGGCCTCAGACACGTTCTAGCTGTTTGACTGTAAGCAAGTCAGTTAACCTCTGTCTGCCTCAACTGTAAAGTAGGGATCATAATAGTATCCACCTTACAGGGTTGTTGTGAGGATCAAATGAGATAAAACTTGTAAAGTTCTTAGCACAGTGATTGGCAAATAGTAGGCACTTAATAAGTGTCTGTTCCTTTCCTCATCCCTGATTTTATAGATGAAGAAACAAGGACTTAGGGAGTTTAAATTATGTGCCCAACTGGAGCTAAAATCCAGGTTCCCTATCTCCCATATTCCAATATTCTTTCTACTATACTATAACATCTATATACAAAATGAAAATAAAAAGGCAATAGAAGAAATTTGGCTTTTGTTTTTTCACAGACAGAATAAATATAGATAAGGACAAACAAGAACATCCCAAAGAGTCATTTTAGACCAATTCAAGTCCTTCCCATTCTGTGGGCTATAGCATGGCAGAAGGCAGAGAATGTACTCTTAAGCTCCTGGGTGAATTTATGAACGATTTCTTTTCATTTGCCAAATCTATACCATGCACTGTTAGAGTCTTAGGATTTGGAGTTATGAGGGTCTTAGGGATCATTTAGTTCAACACCCTAATCATAACAGATGAGGAAACTAAGGCCCAAAGAGTAATCCTGTCCAAAGTCACAGATGTAGTAGGTGGAAAGGGCTTTTACATATTACTTCCACTCCACATTTATGCGTTGGGATCTTTGGACATTATACTTTGTTGAGAAGGTAAAGTAGAGGATAAAGGAAGCAGATAAAGAGCCTGGCTCACATAAAGACCCACAGCTCTTGGTGATAGAGGCCTGCCCTATGGGCCTGTGGTGGGCTGTGAGAAACTTTCTCAGAGCCCAGAAGCTCATCCCTTACACATTAGCTCATAATGGGCCTCCCGTCAAAACAATGAACAAAGGTGCCATTCATTTAGTCTGTACTGGTCTGAAGTTCTAATTAAACTCCACTCTCCTGGGACAGTCTCCAGAGTATAAAGCATGCTATAATTACAGTAAACAGGTTGACACTAATTAAGGGCATTCTGTTCAATACTTCATAGAGTGAGGTGCTTCTTAAAGTGGGCAAACTTAGCCTGGACAAAAGAGACATCCTGGGGACAAGATAGCTGTCTTTGAGTGTTGGACAGGCTGTGCTGGAGGAGAGATTAGATTTGTTCAGTGTAGCCTCTGAGGACAGAACCAGGAAAAATGGATAGGAGTTTCACCATTTAGGCTTGATGTCAGGGAAAACTTCCTAAGGGTCAGAACTGTCCAACCACGCAGGGAGCGTCTCCAGAGATGGTGAGATCTTTCAGCAGAGGCAGGACAACTACTTACAAGTTATGTTACAGTAAGAGTGCCTTTCATTTATGGTTTGGACTAGATAGCCAGTGGGTTCCCTTCCAACTCCGAGATTCTGCGATTCTTCGTAGGAAACTTCGGAAGGGCAAACTTAGGCTTGATATAAGGAGAAACATCCTAACAGTTAGCATTGCTCCAAAGAGGGATGTTTCCTCCAGAGGCGGCTAATTCCCCACTAACGACACCTTCAAGCAGAAGCTGGACAGTCACTTCTCTTGGATGCTACAGAGGGCATTCTTAATTAGTTAGGGATAGAAGAGACGAGGTGTGAGATCCACTCAAACTCTAAGGTTCTGCAATTTTAGTGTATCAAGGAATTAAAGCAGGAATTAGAAGCAGTAGTATGGTACAGTGGATAGAGCACTGGCTCTGGAGTCAGGAAGACGAGTTCAAATGTGGCCTCAGATAATTGTTAGCTATGTGACCCTGGGTAAGTCATTTAACTTTTGTCTGCCTCAGTTTCCTCATTCATAAAATGAGAATAACAATACCACCTACCTCACAGGATTGTTCTGAGGACCAAATGGGTTAATATTTGTATAGAGATTTACAAAGCTTAACATATATAAATGCTAGTTGCTATTAGCTAGTCTCTATAAAAATGGTGGCTATAAGAATTTATTATGAAAAAACTACAAATATTTGAAATACAGAAAATAAAAGTGAGAATGATTCTAGGAAGTATAAGAAAAGCTTTTACAAATATATACTTGTAATATATATTTTTCACGGGGAAGGGGGAATAGGGTCCTAAACTTGTGATTTTATCAGTGTAGGGAATTCCCAGTTTTTCTCACACAAGACACTGTCTCCCATCTCCATGTCTTTGCACTGGCTGTCCCCCATGCCTGGAATGCCAATGTTCCCCATCTCCATGTCTTAGCTTCCTTGGCTTTCCTCAAGATTCAACTCAAATTCTACCTTCTGCAAAGGTCTTTTCTGATCCTACCAGTGGCTGGTGCCATCCCTTCTGAGATTACCTTTGATCTATTCTGTATAAATCTTGTATGTACCTACTTCTATGTATGTTGTCTCATTAGAATGTAAGCTCCTTGAGGGCATCGTGCTGATTTTCTCTTTCTTTTTATCTTAGTGCTTAGTACAGTACCTGGAACATAGTAAATACTTAGAAAATGCTTACAGATCATCAAACTTTGGCAATTGAGAATCTTGGAGTGTCCCTAGAGCATTGAACTGTTAAGTGACTTGGTCAGGATCATGCAGCTAATGGGTTTCAGAGGCAGGACTTGAACCAGGTCTTTCCATCTTAGGGGCAGCTGGGTGGCACATTGGATAGACTACCAGGCCAGGAGTCAGAAAGACACATCTTCCTAAGTTCAAATCTGGCCTCAGATACTTATTAGCTGTGGGACCCTGGGCAAGTCACTGAACCCTGTTTGCCTCAGTTTCCTCATCTGTAAAATGAGCTGGAGAAGGAAATGACAAACCATTCCAGTATTTTTAACAAGAAAACCCCAAATGGGGTCAAAAGAGTTGGACACGACTGAAAATGACTCAACAACAACTTTTCATCTCTAAAGCTGCTGTTCTCAGAAATACATAGGCACAAAAATATAAATGTAAAACATACACACACACATACACACACACATATATATATATATATATGCACACACACACTCAAGAAGAGCAGAGTTAAGATTTTCTCTAAGAAAATAAAGTTTTCTCCAATAAACTCTAAATAACCAAATGTCTAAGTTCCCCAAACTCACCCTCCCCACTTGGGTATTGGAGGGAAGGAAGGGAAGGGAGTAAACATTTATTAAGCACCTATGGTACTATGTTCTTTTATTATGTGCCAGGCACTGTGCTAAGTGCCTTACACATATCTCATTTGATCTCCCCAACAATCCTCAGAGGTAGGTACTATTATTATCCTCATTTGGCAGTTGAGGAAACTGAGACAGACAGAGATTAAATGACTTGCTTAGGGTCACATAGCTAGTAAGTGTCTGAGCATGCATCTGAACTCAAGTCTTCCTGACTTTAGGCCCGATGCTCTATCCGCTATATAAGAAAGTTTAATTTAAAAGAAAATATAAAATTATAAACTCCTACTTCTGAATATAAGCAAGGAATGGATATATGGGAAATTGTAGGTTAAATTTTTCCAAATATTTTAGTCATAGGTATAATTATAGTGCCCACGATACAATGAGCCAACAATAAGAAGATAAACCCAAGACATCCAACATTAGATCCATGACGCTAAGGACAATAGGTTAATAATAACTCAAATGAATCACATTTCTACACTTTGAAGATTTGCAAAGTGCTTTTCTCACAATAACCCTATGAGGAAGGTATTTGAAATATTATCATTTCAGAAACAATGGGAGAATAGGCAGAATATATAACACTTCATAGATTCTGGGAACCTATTCCTAATTAGGAAATCTTCAGCCATCTACCTACCTTGTTTTATTGGCAAAAAAAATTCCTGTCCCCTTGGCAAATGGCACCTTGAATTTGCAAAAATCCATTAATTCTAGATCATTGTGAAATATATGTTTAGGATTCATAACATATTGCATACATATTAACCGAAGGTAAGTTCAGAAAGCTGATACTCTGGAAATGATCAACTTTTGCACGTAGAAAAATAACAGAAAAAGAAAACTTGAGGTATCAAAATAAGATAACCTACAAAAAGTATTTAAATGAATAGTGAGCCAGCCAGACATGTGTCTACTTCTCATATCTATGTAGATATCCTTCTATGTAGGCAAAAGGGAAAATTTAATGGCCTTTTTTTAATAACCTCATGTATCTGGCCAGGATTTCTATTTTTTCCTAAGTCAGCAATTAGTTAAAAATCACAAGCATTATACTAGGATAAGTAAATAAAAGCAGAGCACATGAGAAATATGATATCTTTCTTCTACTGTACTTAGCTCTGGGGAGGCCCTTACTAGA